CTACACCTATAAAACTAAATTAAATAATAATGAATAATGATATATAAATAAATTTTTTTATATGTTTTATATATTATTAAATAATTGAACGGACCTGTTTCCATTCAGTAATATCGGATTCTGAATTAAAGTTGTTCACCTTCGTGGGTTGTACGTTTGAGCCTCATGGAACTTTTTTCTCTCTCTCCCAATTAACCCTATAAATAATTACAAATTGTTTAAAAAAATATATTATTAAATAATTACATATACTTAATAAGTCATAGCATTTCTTTACCTTCTAAGTATTTTTTTTATAATTAACATTTTAAATTAAGTTTTTTAGTTTAACATCTTTTATAATTTGAAATTTATAAAAAATTTTAAATTATCAAAAAAATTAAGATGCAAATAAGGAATTGAACATTAACTTTTTTATGTAAATAAAGAGTTTAATAATTAATTTTTAAGTTTTTAAAAAATCTAAATTATAAAAAGTATTGATAAAAAATAAAAGTTTTAAAAGATGTTAATAAGAAAATAATATATATGGTGTAAATAGAGGTTTGACTTACTTAATATTATAAATTTTAAATAAATAAAAATAATTAATTTTTAAGTTTTTTTACAAATTTTAAATTATAAAAAGTATTGACAAAAGATAAAAATTTTAAAAGATATTAATAAAAAAATAATATATATAGTGTAAATAGAGGTTTAACTTACTTAATATTATAAATTTTAAATAAATAAAAATAATTAATTATTTAAATTATATAAAAATTATATTAAAATAATTAAAAAAATTATCTTTAAATTATTTTTTTAAAACTAAAAAAAAAAAAGGGAGTTGAAGGTGTGGAAGGAATATTTAATTTTAAATGCGATTGAGAGATTTGGATAACCGTCCCTGGTGTGTACGTGGCATTGTGAGGATATGGATTTTACACGTACGACTATTATTATTTTTTTGATGGTCCATGTAGGACTATTATTAAATACTGGTTTGACATGTTATAATATTGATATTGGGAAAGTACGAAGTGATAAGAAGCAACATTTTTAAACCATTTCATGTACGAAATTTTGAGTTCAAATACATGTGATAGAATGAAATAAAAAATAAAAAATAAAATATCTTGTATAATTAAGATAAAAAAAAAAATAAAAAATCATGAAGGACACGTGAAGCATGGCCAACTCCACATGGCGCGTCAGATTGGCCAGCTCTAACCTGCATCACTACCTTTTTCTTGTTTAAGTTTTCTTTAATTTTATTTCGACAATGATTTACGTATGGTATGATATCATGGAAGATCGTACGTATATAATTATAATATTTTATATCATAAAATTGTAAATATTTAATTATTATATAAGATTA